AGTCGAAAAATTTTGAAAATTGCATAATAGATAGAATATACTTATAAACATTCGGTGAAAATTTCATGTATCAATGGTCATTTGTTTTAAAGTTACATCAAAAACCAAAATCGATTTTGTCGAAAACTGATTGTGCGTAAAATTTCCCATTTTTTCTTTAACTTTTAGTTTGTTTATCCCGATTATTTAGAAAAATATTGAGAATTTTTTTCTTTTGACCCTCCCCCCAAAGTACCAAATAGATTCACTTTCTCATCGAACGAGGTACTGAAGTCAAAAATCGAAGCACTTTTACTGTCCCAAAACGTGATGACAGACACACATCATGGTAAAATCAATACATTCATCGCTCCGCTCAGAATCTAAAAAATATCGTTGAAACTCAAGTATTTTACTGAGTTAAGGACGGTGGTGTAATTAYAAATTGTTATTCAAACTTCATTTTGAAGTTATAGATAGGCAGTTGAAGACAATAATTTATCACGCGAATACTTTACCCAATGGAKATGAGGGTCGTACGCATTAATATACCGTTGAAAGTTGTGATGAACTGAAGATAAGTGATATTGATAAGTTCTTCGATCATAGTCATACTAGTCATACCTACGTCATATATGATTAATATATTTACGTTTTCCATAGATTTATAGATTATAATTTATAATATTGTATTTTGCGATGTTTATCCGAGGTTGGCTTAAGAAGCGACTACTTGTGTTACTTTAATAAATTTTATTAAACATTGCTTAAATAACAGATTTTTTTTGATTTTTTATAATCAATAAAAAATATTTACCTACTCAAAAGTATAAAAACTAAATTCGTTAAAAGTATTTATTAAGTATGAAGTTTATTTTTTGACAAAAAAATCTAAGGAGTATAATATGTATACACTTAAATGTTTATATATTTATTACAAACATTTTAAGTTCAAAAAATTCGATATTTTGTCAAATTTCATTTCTAGGCATTGGGAATTTTATTTTAGTATTTTCAATAATTGCCGATTAAGCTTAATCTTTTTTGTTATTATAGCAATTAAAAATATCAAAAATTAAATAGGTATACACTGGCATTTTAGTTCTACGAAATTATTTAATCTAGTATTATAGTAAATAGAAAATGAAACATAATAAACATTTGGTGAAAATTTCGAGTAGGTATCTGCAGTAGTTATTCTACTAGTGAATTACAATGATGTAAGATAGTCTATTTTAACGAAAACTGGTATTCACAGCTATTACGCAAACATATCTGAAAATGTGTATCGTGTATGCCACCTTTGCCATAATAGTCAATCACTAATCGTAATACTATAAAATAATATATTTACTGTTGGTTTTTTTGTATTAACAGTATCGTCACCTTGCAGTAATAATAACGGCGGTTGTCAGCACATGTGTAACGAGTCTATAAGTGGTAGCGACGGTTTGTTAGCGTACAGTTGCTCCTGTAACATAGGGTATCATCTTGCAGAAGACATGCACAACTGCGTTTGTGAGTATTTATTAATATTTCTAAAACCATTTATCCGTGCGATTCGTGTACTTGTAGAATATTAACGTACACTTGTACCTAACCTGATATTTTTCGTTTTAATATTAGTGGTCGAAGAATTCTTGTTGTACTCGGATGATAAGTTCATCAAAGGTAAAGTCTTGAGCAATGTTTCGCAAGGGTATACTGCCGCCATACTGCCAGTAACGACAAGTAATGCCGGGTCCGCAGGTCTAGATTTCGACGCCCGTGATAACTACATTTATTATTCAGACGTTTCTCAGAACATTATCTATAGAATACACAGAAACGGGACAGGTGGGCGTATACCACTTTGATGTTATCTTAAATAACGTAAAATAACACGTTTTGTGGAAAAGGCATAATTTGGTATCAGCGAATACAGGAAATAACACTGTGTCATACATTTTCAGGTAAAGAAATTGTATCAACCTCTCCAAATGGATGCGTGGAAGGTCTTGTCGTGGATTGGGTGGCAAAGAACCTATACTACATCGATAGTAGAAAAGGTACGTTGAATGTAGTTAGCACTCGGAATGTGACCAATCAAAGGGTGCTATTGAAGATCACGAAAAAACCCAGCGTACAGAGAGGAATTGTTGTCCACCCTAACAAAGGGTAGGTGTTTCGTACATCATAAGAGAACATAATATAATTTACAACGGCGTTTGAGTCTAATACTCTAGATATAAAGTTTTTATTTTTTTACAAATAGGTATCTGCATATTTATCTGCATATTTCATATATTTGTCTCACGCGTTGTTTTAATAATTTCAAATATTAAGATTTAAGAGTTACAGAATAATAAAAAAAACATCAAGCCAATTAATACAACTTTTATCTAATTATCTGCAGATAAATTTTTATTTATTTAAATAATATAGAAATACTAGCTGTCCCGACACGGCGTTGCCCGCGTATTAGTTTGTYTTTTGGCATTTTCGTAGGCCAGTGTATACTGTATAGTGTTATTACTTATTAGTTATTATGTACCTATGAGAAAATAATTTTTTTTTTTTTGGAGCTTATTAGTGGTTTGGGCGTTCATAGCGTATAGTAAACTATTGAGAATGTCAAATTAATATTCTTATAGTGTCACTAATAATAAATAAACCTCGGGATTAAGGATAGAACATAGTCTGCAATGAATGAGTAAATTACAAAGTTCTTAATTGATAACATAAACAAATATATTTTTATAAATTATATGCATTTTAAACTATTTTAGATTCTGAACGAAGTGATGAATGTATTGATTTTACAATGATGTGTGTGTTTTTTTTTTATTGTCATCTTTCACAGTCTTTCCATTCATCTCTCAGTCATATACCAGTATACGACATTCCCACACACAATATTATTATTTCTTCTTCGAATCACGATTTCTCGTGTAGCTGTACGGTCGCCAACCATGATTCCAGCAACGTCGTCAACTACAGGTGCATTGAATCTACRAATGTGCTCTCCAGCTGGTGTTTTATCAGGATTGATGACAATTGCGTGATTGTCACTTTGTAATTTGTGCATGTGTGATTTGAATAATTTCAACAATTCATTGTGCTCATTCAATAAAGCGTCCAGATCACCGATGAAGCGTCTGGAAAAAGGTGAATTAAGGTTATTGTTACTACAACGTGCATCCACGCGATTGGCAAGTGCGCTTTCGGAGTCCTCACCGCCCATAAAGTAAATTTGTAAAAATGTATGTGGTTCGTTTGGCATTGGTAGCAAGTGAGTCCACTCTATGATAAACTTGGCCTTTGATTTTGAATGTTGAATTAAATTGTTGACCATTTGCAGCATTATTTTTTAACTATTTCTGTTGCTCTGTTGTTCTGCTTGTCATTTGGAAACATGAATTGAATGTTCGAATTGACTTCAGGAACAGGTTAGAATCTGGATCCGTACCGATAAGTAAACCGTTCAATGGTTCAGGTGGTGTTTCAATTTCCGGTAGTTGCACTTTTCCTGACGCGCAACACATACCAGCTGGCTCATTTTTGAACTTCAGCGCATTACAAATGCGGACATTCCTTGTCCATAGCACCAATCTCTACTTTCGAATGAGCGTAATATTCAATATCGGGCCCATACTCGAATGCTAGACGAAGGAATGAATTGGATGTAAATGCTCTGTGTACCTACTTGTTGGCGTTGTCGGTCATTTGCTTTGCGTGTGTCAACTACGAATTGACGCGCTTCTAATCGTCTTATTTGATTTTGTTCAGCTTGTGCCTCACGCAATCGCACCATGTTCACGCGTACATTTTCATTGTTCGGTTGGATTTGTACGTCTCTTCTTTGTGCTCTTCTATCTCGCATGCTTGTACTTTTGGTCGTTCGACGGGCCAAATCAGACCCCTTGCGTCTTGCTGGCATTGTACAAAATACACAAATCGATGCAATTAAAGTTCATATTAAACTAAATTTATTTATTTATTTTTATATCTATGGAAATACGTCAGACGACAGCGGCGACAACGGTGGCTGATCGGTCAGTGTGGCCATTGATTAAATATATGAAACAGCGTTTAATTTAAAAAAAAATATATATATATTAATAATAATAATAATTGAATATGTTATGTTTGGCAACCAACGGAAACTCTATAAAAAAAAAAAATTGTCGTAGGTTAAAAAAAATCCCTGTATGAGCCACCCTTTAAAATAAAAATAGGGGTGTGAAAAATAGTTTACATCACTCTCTGAGACCTGCTTAATATACACAACAAATTTCATGAAAATCGGTCCAGCCGTTTCGGAGGAGTTTGGTAACAAACATTGTGACACGAGATTTTTATAGGTATATTAGAAGAAGAGAAGATACAGTGCATTTATATTATATCTAGATACATTTTATAATGTAGAAAACTTTTTGTACTTTTTATTCGTTAAGATACCTTTTTACCCTAAAAAATCAGTTTGAATTCCACAAATTAAGATTTATGTATTTAACGTTTCCATTATGTACATATATACTGTAATCATACCGTTTGACATTTTCACTCTGAATTTGAATTATATGTAATTTACCATATTGTTTTTAATGAATAATTATATTTAAAATCTAAAATAATTACATCTCAAATAACTAAATAATAATTTTGTGTATTGTGTGGATGATTAAATTGTCATTAATGTAAATCTACTAAAGCACGTGTATAAGTACATAATATTATGGTTAATGGGTTTTAGGTACATATTCTTTTCCGAAATGGGTATAAGCCGTGCGTATACAGATGGTTCGAATCTGATCAAGTTAGGCAGCCATAACCAAAGATGGCCGAGAGGTTTGGCTTTGGATTTTGCTACGGACCGACTGTACTGGTGTGACGTACTGTCTGAAAAAGTCCAACATTCGAATTTGGACGGGACTGATGTGAGGGATATCATATCGACTTCAATACGAAGTCCATGGTTGATAACCATACATAAAGGTATGATTGTTGATAATTTACTTGATTTGGATTGGGTCGTATTTGAGCATTTTAAACAAGCCCCACTCCTCTAAATAACGATTTTTAATTTATAATATTATTTAAATAAATTAAACTAACTTTTTAAATTAAGTTAATATTCAATAAATAAATAAAAATAATACAATATATAATTTATAACGATCCGTGCCTTAGTGTGGTTCGGCTTCAGTCACAAATGTGCCTCGGCTGCCAGCACCGACAGGTGCCACTAGTCCTTGGATGGGTTATGGATGTATCTATGTTCCTAGTAGCTAATCCTTAACATATATACTAATCGTACCCTCATCTACAGTTAAGAACCTAATAAAAAATCAACCAATGCCCTATGTTGCTAGGGGTTAACTTATAACTTGACAGAATCAAAAATATTGCACTAAAATTCCAAACTATCACTATTTTAAATAATTAAAACCCATAGAGTTCATTTTTGACATTATTTAAAAAAAATTAACTTCAGTTTTTGAGAAATTTTGAGTGGAATTATGTATCTTTAAATATACCTACATCACCTCATAGATGCTGTTTTCAATTTTGTGTCTTTTAAGATGCACTACTTTGTAAACGATATTTTAGTTTAGTATCTTAATGGATACATCACTCTGAATTCCTCATTTTAAAACTAGTATCCTTTAGTGTACATCACTCGATTATGTCTATTCTAAGTTTTATTACTAAAAAGATACTAAGTAAAACTATTTAGGTAATAAAATGTAAAAACATGACTTTATTGCTTTTCAATAAGAAAAATTTAAAAAAAAATTATAATAATAGGTACATAGCAGTATAGTATATGATAATATAATATTTTATATACCTACTTGTTAAATAATATAAAAAATGAAACATTTTTTTTCTAAATAAAACTAAAAAATAATTATACAACCAAACGGTTTTAACGTACCTATCTAACAAATTAGAGTTACCTATTAGAATTCTGAAATCAGAAAAATCGTTTTTAAAATCTTTCAAAACAAAATTAATTAAAGAAAAAATATAAAGAAAAAACATTAAAATATAATTGTATTGCACTCATTTCTATTTAAATTAAATATTATTTTATTATTTAGTAATACGCATGGCTAGTATAATTTTAAGCAGAAATGTAAATATATATGATAATAACAAACTTTAGATAAATAATTATAATAATATCTTTTTAGATGCATCAATAAGCATGATGCAACTAAGCATTGTATTTTATTGGATACATCAAATATCAACCATAAAAAACAACAATATTTGAGCAGTAAAACCTAACAATTTATTATATTAAAATGATATTGAGGCTTAGCTGAATAAATACTACAAATTTCAGCTAGTTGTAGGCTGTAGCATATATTCTGATATTCAATGACTTATATAACACTCTAAAGTCACAGTAAATCACAAACAATAACAGCGTAATCAATTTTAGATATAATCAAATGATATTAGAAATATAAACTCTTTGGAATATTTAAAAAAATTTACAAAAGTTTCATGGGAAAAATAAATATTATTTTTAAAAATCAAAATTAACTGAATCACGTGTATCTTTTAGGATACAGCGTCAAGTTAAGGATTAAATAAAATAAAAAGGTATTAATAATAATAAAAAAAATTGACAAGGATCATCTACATAACAACTAGAACTAATGTCCCGGGCGGCCATATCATAACGTAGTGAAATTAACTTTCGTAATGTTGTGAATTGAGTTTTAAATTCGTTTCAAATTGTAAAAACGTTGGAGTTGAAATTACCCCAAGAAATGGTTAAAACTGAGATTTTAAAATGGTTTTAAATATAGGTTACCGTACACGGCTTTTCAGAAAATTCAGTCACCAGTAGTTGTGCGTGCGGGTGCTGCAGTTGGCGTGTGCGTAGTATTATGAATTTATGATTAATTGTCTTTAATATTTTTCCATGCAGATTGGATGTACATCATCGATTGGGACCGGGACGCTATAATGAAATTACACAAGCTGACCGGCGTCTTAGACAACATCGAGGTTCGGCAGCCGCGAAACTGGTTGATGGGCGTGAAGGTTTACAGCGAACATGAGCAGCTCATCATCAATAATCACCCGTGCTCGATCGCGGCTGACTATGGGGGTTGCCAGAAGTTGTGTTTCGCTGTGCCGTTCAAAAAGTGGAAAATTTCGTTACTCAAGGCGCGTTGCGACTGTCCGTTTGGCGAGATGGTTGACTCGGACGGCAAGACGTGTGTGACCGACCCGAACGCCGAATCGATGGTTTGCCCGAACGCGCAGGACTTTGCGTGTAATAATATGCGGTGCATACCCAAAGCTTATGTGTGTGACGGTTACGACGATTGTCACGACAACTCCGACGAGGCACTAAACTGTACYAGAGCAGAATATACTGAGCAGCCYAGCCCGGTACCAACGGTCGTGACTGTGTCGGGAGGTGCCTCAAAATGTATACAATATCGTTTAGTAACTACTTTGTCTATTGTGATTGCATACTTATTCATTATTTAGTTATGTATTAAATATATTATCTAGTATTGTTTGGCTGACTATTACAGACTSCAGTAAAATAATAAAATATAATTTAATAAAATAATTTGTTTCAAATTGATTAGATTTKAACCGTCCTTGTCTGCGCTGTAAATTTTTAACGATGATGCAATTACGAATCTATACCTATAAAAGTCCACTAACCATAGTATTATGTACTTACGAGCAATATAATTTACTATAATTTAATTATTAAATTACACGGTTGGTTAAATGATTGTAGATGTACGATAATATGTGTCTTATCACATTATGACATAATAATATAGTATATATTATAAATTAAAGTTTTCTAAGTTTCAGGCACATAGATTGCATRATAAAATTAGGGTAGCCTAAATATCACTAAAATTTTTCTCCAGTTGCCATATGCGCAATTAGAGCAAAAAAAATTGGGGGACTTCAGCCCATCACATTTATTTTTCAAACACTGCCTCTCAGAATCTATTTTTTCCACCCTTGACCTCTATAAAAAATATGCTTATTGGAAGGCAAGTAAAACTTAAAAATAATAAATACAAATTTTATATTCTTATTTTTCTATTTTTTTTAGCAAATGTATTTAAAATAATTTGTCAAGTGCGGCTACTCACAAATCTTTATTAGGTAATAATATTATTATCTCWTGATAGCTGTACTTGTATATACATATACTGAGAAGTTTTAGTTTTACATACTGAAATTCGGTGGTTATCAAWAGGTAAGGTTTTAAACATGTTTTATGAAATGAAAAATGAGTTGTTGCAATTGTTCAATAATATCCGAATATCGACTTCGTAACTTAATTAAATAATCCATTATGGTCTGAAAAACTTGCTTATCTAGCTGATATTTCTAACCATTTAAATATCCTTAATTCCAATATGCGAGGTAAAGATGAAAACATATTTACATGTCTGATAAATTAAATGGGTTTTTATGGAAAATTAATCTTTRGATATCACAAGAAGGWAAAAAACAACTGCAAATGTTTCCATTAACAGCATATATTGATCCAGATGGAGAAGTAACATCTGATTTGRTAATAAATCATCTCATAATTTTAAAATAGAAAATAAAAAAATACTTCCCATCTTTGCCTATTCGAATATGATTGGGTGCGCAATCCTTTTGCAGTAACATCAGATATAATATCACATCTAGGATTAGTTGAACAAGAACAACTTTTAAGACTTCAATCTGATAATTCATTGAAATTAAAATGCAATAGTATACGATAATTACAGAAATTGCAATAAATATATTATTACTATTTTAAATAATTATATGATGTTTTTTTTTATAAAAAAGTTCAAGTTGTCGTGGCAGATCTTTCAAATCTCACGGCACACCCTTTGGGAAACACTGGTATAAATAATAACGTAAAATGTCCATTTTGTTCAAATTTTAATCAGAAAATAACGATTTTTTTATTTTACATTCATACAACTTGAGTAAGCAGATAGAATAAAACATGATACATGTCATGTATCATTGTATATGAATTTTTTTATAACCATGTGTATGCAATAATAATGATCTACTTTTTTTTTATTGAATTTTTCACCTTTTATAGTTATATTCGTGTATACTTTTCAAACATGACATAATAATTATAATGATTTCAAATTACGCTGTTGTTTAATAGAATAAAAATGATGTACTCTTTCATTGAATTCCTTTAGTACTATTTGTGTCAAACTTAAAAGTTGTATTATTATGTCGTTGCCAATTTGATTGTACTGACTTAGCCAGCAGGTGTAGAAACTATTTTGGTGCAATCTCATAGGATTTACAAGTATAAAAAAATGTAACAACGTTATTGTATTTTTGAAATGGTCATCGGTATACTACTGCCTATTGTTATATAAGAAACATACAGGGCGTCCCACAGAGATCTGACATTCTGACAAATGAAATAACTTTTGTTCTAATTAATATTTTTAACAAATTTCTTTTAAATATAATTCATAGACACTTRCGCTACATTTTTAGAATACATTTTTTATTTTTTAATACTGAAAATAAAAAACTTAAAAATTGATAAAAAATGTTTTCGAAATATTCAATATAGCCAATTTATAAATCTGATTAAAAAAATATTTATATGGTAAAAACACTTATTTAGGTCAAATGGCTGATTTTTTACAATTTTTTTAAATATCAATATTTTCGTTAAGTAAATTACGATCTAGTTTATGTTAGAAACCTTGTAATCTCAAATAATAATAAAGTTTTTTWAAAATATTTTATAAGAACATTTTTWAWTA